CCCCGGACCTACCCGGACACGTCAACAACCCGCCGTACAGTACGAATAGCCAACCGCAGTCCAACTCATCCATACTATACAAGGCGTCTTGAATACCATTCACACATAGTACATCCATAAACAAACATAATGTAAAATAAACATTTATAGCAGCGGAAACATTTAACACAAGTGTTTATGCCACACCTTGGCAAACATGGGCATACAAGCCCCCCAAATAATTATTCAAAAACAATATCCATGAGCATTATTTAAATTGTTTTCAAAAAAACAGAAACGGAAGAAGCACGAACCACGTCTTCTTCCTTTGATCTTCCCGAAGCAACGGGCGGTGGCATCAACCTTCAAGTTCTACCTGAAACTGTGAGGTGGCCTCCCCCGTGAAGGGGAGGTCAGTACTTGGAAATATTTGACAAGCACAATAGCAACTATACTAAGTATAATTGATGTTTCAATTTCTAAGACCCTCAACTTAGGGTGATATTATATTATAGGCCATAACCCTCGGTTACCCCTTTTTCTTTTAACTGTACTTACTTTATATAGAGTCAAGTCGTCGGCCCGTGGGCCCATATTCATTTAGAATTCATTATTTTCTTTCCCCCGTGACCGCATGTCACGATAACCCCGTAGGGTCCCATCGAGCCCTGATTTTATAGCAAGGGCTCGTCCCAACTACAAATTTATAAAATCCTCTAACTCAATTTAACGCATTAAAATTGTATGGCAAGGGCTCGGCCCAACTACGTTTCCATACCAACCATAACTTCGTGGCAAGGGCTCGGCTCAACTACGTTTCCACGGAGATCACATATACATGGCAAGGGCTCGGCCCAACTACGTTTCCATGCTAATCACAATACATGGCAAGGGCTCGGCCCAACTACATTTCCATGCAATCCTAGAGTCCAACTCCACTTTATTTTCATAGTCCAATTCTCAAGCAAATCCTATGCCTAGAATCAATTCACTTGGGTAGCCTTTAGGCCTACCCCTACCACACCTTAGTGTGCATACAATTCAACCTTAAAGTATCTCTTAAGACTACTTAAGGCATACCCATTTACAATCCTATCTCTTAGGATTAAATCCATCATTTATTTATTTTAATCTCTCGACTAGTATTCCAACACTAGTCGGATAATCTTAGAACCGCCAAGTTCTTAACTCATAGCCAATTAATTCATCTCAATTGATTTTCCAATCCAAATATAATTTAACCCAAATATCAAAAATATCACTTTTAACCATTCATGAATTTCATACATGAAGTAAAAGTATATTTTATCACAATATTACCATAGTTAATCTCATCATCATACCATCACTTTCATATCACATAATCATACACAATTTACTCTAAATTTGTATATCATGCTTCACTTTTTCACATGAAATAGTATTTTCATTTAGGCATTATTATTCATTAATAATCCATGAAAACCACATTTAATAACTTAGGTAATCTTACGAAATTAACCCAACAATTATAAGCAATATAGTCAGTCATCCTCACCTCGTGATGTGCTACAATAGTTGCCTTTGTTAAGCCCCTCGATCAATCCCCGTTCTAGGCCGATTGAAAGTGGAAAATTGGACTGCTAGGCAAAAGTCGGGCGGCTTTCACGAAAGCCGGGCGGCTTTCGTAGTCTGCAACTACGAACAGCTCCCTATATGTGGCGGTTTCCAGCGATTTCGACTCCTATCGATTCACCAACACTTCTAAGTTAAATACCACCACTTTATATCAATATTCTACACTTTTAAACGTGTAGAACCTCATGTTTAATCCTCCATATGATTTCTTAAAAATCATACATGATAAAACTAGTTAATGCATACTAGTTGGATAATCTTACCTCAATCCCTAGCTTTTCTTCTTGGATCCTTCTCTCCTCTTGGTTTCTTCAGCTCCAGAACTTTGAGAGCTTTTTCCCTGGACCTTATCTCCCTTGTGCTGGCCGAACTGATTGAAGAAAGGGTAGGGGAGAGGTCCTTCTCAACCAACACAATAATAGGAAGGGTAGGATCATGGTGGGTATGAGTTTTTGTCTCTTGGAGACTACCCACCTACTAGGTACACCCCCCCAGCTGCCTTCCTTGTCACTTGCAGCACATAGGGTCGTGGGGTGACCCCCACTTATGTGGTAGGTCATCCCATTATATCCCGGTGTGTATAATTGGCCTCGAAAGTTGTATTTTTCGGACTACTTTAGTCATATTTTATTTTATCGGGCTGGATAAAATATATCACGCGTTCCCAACAATTTTGGGCCTTTAGAAACGATGTATATTCCCCAACATTAATTTAGGAGCCTCCGAAACTCATTTCGGGCTGTTATCCGCTAAATTATCAATACCGGTAATTGGGCCCCGTTTGACCAACCGGTCAACTCCATGCCTTTCTTATGGCCCAAATAAAATATCCACCTCTATGTAGATGTCATCTAGACCAAGATGAATATAATATGTGGTTCGGAAATTATCGGGCGACCCCCCGGTCCGGGCGTGGGCCCCACATGCAATTTACTATTCACGTAAAAGAATTAATAAAAATTTACATTTACGCAAATTCATAAATCATCCTTCAAGGTTTATTACATAATTTACTAAAAGTAAATATGCTTGGGGACGGTGCTACAGACCTAATCTCCTCTAAACCGCATACATGACTTTTGATTTAATTTGGTTGAAATAGACTTTGATGTTACTCCTTTTAGATGTGCGATATAAGCAAAGTAATTACAATAAAACGTACCGTAATCGCGCTTATTCTGGACCTTGATCCCATTGAGTTCGTAGTACCTATAATAGACTTAGAGTGGACTCCAGAGATATACTGGCAAGGGGATCACTTCGTTTGATTTTTGCAATTTCATATACTTGCTTTAATGTGACCAGGGCGGTTGCTGCCACTCTCCACCCTCGTTGTCTGCTTCAGGTACCAAGTGACTAACAGAGATTTCCACGTGAATTCAAAGGTTTTGTCCTTGAAAGCAGTTATCGTAACAAACATTGAAATCCTTGCAGAAAGCCATGGAATTCAAATTGTATTGACCTAAAGCCGGCCAGTCGATCCTGCTGGCGGTCAAGGCTTTAATGCGCCGGCTTCGGCCCTTAGTCAAATTGTCGCCACCAGGGGATGCCGAGTCAAGATCTGCTTCAACGTCGCCATGTGATTGTAGCTGGAATCACACCAGAAGTACACTTTGCAATAGATATGAAGCGAATTGTGCAAGGGACTCAGGAGTTACTACTCTGAAAAATGTCGATAACAACATACCGAGTATATAATAGACTTTGTAGGATGATGACTAGATAGGATTTAAGATGGATTTCATCGCCTCCAGCAAAGCTATCAGAGGCAGATTTCAACCGACTGGAAGTAAAGCTGCACAGGATCGATGGCAGAGCGTGGAGCCGCACAGGACCGATGGCAGAGCGTGGGGCCGCACAGGACCGATGGCAGAGCGTGGAGCCACACAGGACGGAGGACGGAGGGGGGAGCGCAGAGCCGCACAAGATGGGGGCCAAAGGGCGGAGGGTGGAGACGCAGAGGCTGGAGGCACGACCAGAGCTAGGCGTGTGGAGAAAAGCCGTCTGTGCTTCTGCTTCAATTCGACGGGTCGTAAAGATGCCAGATTGCGATCTCTTATTTTGATTTGGGATTTAGACTATTTTTGGAAAAAAACTAAAAGTGAAATGATGAAAGTTAAATATGAAAAGTAAATTCACAAGGGAAATAAATGAAATGTATTTGGGAAAAGTGGACTTCACCAGATATTTCCTATTTTATAATATCAATCTAAGAGTATATTCTGGTAAAAAATGTAAGGGCAAATTAGTCCATAAAAATTATTTATTTATTTATTTATTTATTTATTTTATTAAATATTACGAATTCAAATACATGAGTATTGTTTTTTTTTTTTTGGGGGGGGGGGGTGAACAAATGAGGTCATGTATTGAAAAAGTGGAAGAGTTTTAGTCATACCCAATGTTCTAAAAGGTGCTAGGCGCTAGTGGGGCACCAACCCAGCGCCTAGCGCCTAGGCGGTTAGGTGGGCGCCTAATCGGAGACTAGTCGGAGACATAGAAATTGCATTTTTATCTATATTTTTGCATAAATATGTTAAGTAATATTGTATTTTGTGTGTGTATAAAATACATATATACACATACATTAACAAACATGAATGATAGAATTATCACATTTAATCATACATAGTACATGATAACTAATCACTTAATTTCATTATGTTATAAATATAGAAAATAATAAAATTTAAGTATATATACAAACATAAAGAGTTTTTATCTTAATTTACAACTTCATTTCTTTATATTTGTGGCTAATGTTAAAGTACTCATATCGCTTAGAAAAAAATTAAAAAGTAAAGTACTGTTCGGTGGAGGATTAGGTGCTCTGGGCGGGCAACTAGGCGCCATAGGCGGCCGACTAATTCACCTAGACGGCAAACCAATTAGTCAGAGCACCTAGACAAAAATCGGGGCGTCCTTCCACTGCCTAGCGTCTGGGCGGGGACTAGTCGAGCACCTAGAACGATTTTTAGAACAAAGGTCATACCTAGTTTTATTTTTTTTCTTAATATAATTAATAATAATAACAATTACCCTCATTTTCTTATTTAATTTTATTTGCTCGTATGTATATGATTGATTATTTAATTCTCTCTTATATACTACGTATTATTTAGGCCTTACATTTGATTTTATATTATTTATTTATAAATTTTATATGTGTATGTGTACATATATGTATATTTTAAAAAAACTAGATTAGCTACTTAAATTTTAAGAATGATTGTATTCTTCCAAAATATTTAAAATTATGAGATGTTAATAAATTACGGAGTAATTAGCTTCCATCAAAGTTAACGAAAAATTTAACGGAAGGATTCGATTAATATAGATGAAATAGATTAAGAACAGTAGTTCATATATGAATGATTTATTGAATTATTGAATGTTAACTGTTTACCCAACTCAAAGCAAACATTAGTTCCAAACACGTCAATAGGGGTAACTCAAGTGCCAAAAGAGTGGCATTGACGATTTCTGAGACTAGCAGCAACGATATGCAAGGAGGATCAACAGGCATCGGCTATGGCCTCAAGTATCAGGTATTGTCTAATTCCTTCACATTCTTTCCTCACAATCCGTACTTGCCTCTGTAATTTTTCGTCCCGCATTTCTCAAAGGCTAGGTGCATCTCCGATGTGAAAGCCGACACTGATCACACCAGTTTCCTCGCCGGAACGCTTAGCCTTAAAGAAGAAAACGAGGTGCACCTGATTCGTCTCTCAGCAGGCGGCACCGAACTGATCTGTGAGGGTCTGTTTTCTCATCCTAATGAAATATGGGATCTTGCTTCTTGCCCCTTCGATCAACGCATCTTCTCCACTGTCTTTTCTTCCGGTAACTTGCGGAATTCCTCCTCACTCTACTTTTTTTCTATTGTTTTTAGTGTTCTATTTTCATGAATAGGGGAGGGGGGCTACTATTATTTGCTTGTTGAGTGGATTACCTCATTAAGAATGTGTTTTATGACAGACTACCTCTGTTCTTAAATATAAGCACTATGTTGAATTTTACACTATTCACATGCTCTACTTTGACTACATTTTATTTATTAATGTTTTAGAAATTTATTTTTTGAAAAAATATTTTAAATTCCTCTCATTTTAAATTTCAAAATATGATTTATTTTATTTTTTAACTAATAAGGAATGAAATAATGAAATATATCAGTAGTCAGAGTTGTGTGAAAATTGAAATGTTGCAACTAACAAAGAATGGAGGAAGCATATTGTGAGTTAATAGTGAAATGTAAGGGTTCAATTTGAACAATTTGGTGGATTACTAAGTTTCTGTCAGCAAATTCATGTTGCGTTTTAGCTATAGGAATGGGAAACTGTAGGATGATCAATGTTAATACTTTATCAATTCTGTTTGTTGGAGCAACATTACAGTTAGAAATGATGTTTTTGAGGATTTTGATTAGCATGTTGAAAATCGTGCGATCTGAATTTCCACAACTTTTTCTTAAAAAAGTGATCAGAAGTGTACTGGCTGTAAAGCTCATTGTATTGCTTGATTGGTTGTTGGAAGGTCTTGCAGATTTATTTGAAGATAGTACGGAACAATATGCCACAGTACAGTGATATGTGATAGAATTGTAACTTGGTTTTGCAGGTGAGACGTATGGGGCAGCGATATGGCAGGTTCCTGAGCTATATGGGCAGTTAAATTCACCGCAGCTGGAATTGATGGCTTCTCTTGATGCACACAATTCAAAGATTAGATGGTCAGTTCTTAACTCCTTAACTTTTGTCATATGATTCATGAATATATTTCTCTACTCCTTAAGTAGAACAAAATGGAAATTCATACCAAAGTATAAAGGATTCAATAAAATTTTATCCTATTCCAATAAAATTGTTTAGATGCTAGTTGTTATGCTTTACAATTATCTCTTAGTAAGACTTCTATTAAATTTTGGAGTTTTTTGTACATTATATTTTTTTGGACACTAAAATTCTTAGGAAAATATCTGAACAACTGGCAGCACACTTTGGTGGTCATCTGGAAGGCATGACAAGTTGGTTACCATTGACGAACAAAATGTTTTTCTGTGGAGCTTTGATACATCAAAAAAGACTGCCCAAGTATGTTGGATTGCTTTAATGTATTTTTGACAAAGTCATGCTCAAATGTTAGCGTTTCCATTTTCTTTTTTCTATTATATAAAGTTGTTCAGCATGCATTTTTCTGTATTTTCCATATCACTAAGTCTACATGAACTAAGAGAATCTCTCGAGATCATCTTCCACTGTCATAGTAAGGCGCTTAGCCCTTGACAACAAACGCGACAACATAGTTGGCTCTCCTCCATCTTTTGTTCAATTTTTGATACATCACTTTCATGTTGATCTTTTCATTGTGAACTCTATGTTTTAGTGTTATGATTGTCATCCCTATCATCTGAACTACATCTGTTACACTCATTATTTTGCATCCTTACATTCTAATCTGACTTAATGAATATCTATGTTCTGTTGATACTAGATCCCAAACACATGAAAGAACCTCTTACTTAAAATCTTTCCCATTACACATTTACACTCCGTTGCACGCATTGTGTTCCTCATCTGTGTTTGTGCTGTATTAGCATTGTAATTACTCAATTTTTCCTTGCCACGGCCTAAAATTTCGCGATTCTAACTTTTGGTCTATTGTTAGAAGTTACCAATCACCATTCATCTTTGCTTTGGACTCAATGACCAATACAATCTGCTAACAACTTACTTCATGGTATCTCATCCTTGGATGGTCATAATAATCCATCCATACACTTGAAAATAGAATGGGGCTCAGTGTCAAGTCTTGATGTAGGCATGTAGCCAAATCAGATTCACAAATTTTCTATCACAACTCCAGAAGTCATAATGTTCATCTTCGCTTCTCGTTAGTATCCTTCACTGGGTCAAATGTATTTTTTATGCATCCTTTGTTGTCCTAGCCGGCTAGCCCATTAAAATACTTCCCTAGGTATTATGTCATTCGTGTACTCAAAGTCTATAAAGTTCACAGGACATGATAGTAAATGTTTCAATCTGCTCTTTATCCTTTCTTCATCAACAAAGGACATTTTGATTTATATTCTCTATGCTTTTCACTAAACTAAAATGTCTGCGCTTCTTTGTTATGGAGCAACAGTCAGTCCATGCAATCTTGGACGCGATTTTCACTATGGGTCATCCGGAAACAGTCTCTCTGTGCTTTAGTACAGGGGTAAGACTGCGTACATCCGACCCCCCCTTACCCCACCGTAGGTGGGAGCCTTTGCGGCACTGGGGTAAATGAAAAAAAAAATGAAAATGATGCTTTTCACGATTCGAATGTCACTAGCCTTCTTTCTTGTTGCCTTCTTTAGTCATGCCATTTTCTTGTTATCTTTCTGACATTCTTAATCTGGGAAAATCTCAATGTATTAATTCCCTCATATCCACGTGACACTTCCCTAAATCTCGGGCGTATATAACTGTTTGATAGAGCACTGGAATTCTCTAACTCAGAAGTCAGAACAGTATAAATATCAGTAGAAATGAACAAGAACAGATCGAAACACTTTATTCACCAAGATGAACAGATCACAGAAGGGATACAACGCCTATGGACCATTCGAGATGCCCAATCTCCTAACCAAAACTCAACTGAATACTTGCCTACCCTTTTTCCTCCCCTCCCCTTCTATTTATACTACTACAAGTACACTTACTACTATTATTATTATTATTATTATTATTAATTCTATTATTAGCCTAATAAGCCAGATTCCTATCACTGTTGAGTATATGGACTCAGGCCTACGGCCCACATACTCTTGATCTCTTGGATACACAGCGGCCCAAGCCCACCTGATATACACTCCTCATCTGGGTCCTCTCAACCAAAGTCAGTCCAGGACACCGAACCAGGATCACTGTCCGTACTAGTCACTTTAGCTAGTGACACCTTGTCCAACACCATCTTGATACCCCAAACAGAACCACCCAGAAGCAGGGAAAACACTAAGGACGAGGTGCACAAGCACCTCAGCCTACACCACCATGGCCTACACCACCTCGTCAACAGAAGACATCCACTCAGGAGTCGGTTAAGGAGTGACACGCATCGCGCTCTCCGCTCTGTAGTGCCATAGGCTCTCGCCCATAGAATAGCTTACACGTGTACGTGCATTTAATGCACCGCTCATTTATTACTAGTATAAATACTCCCTTTTGGATAGTTGTAAAGGGTTCGAGTCCTATTAAATACAAGATTACTTTTTGTCTCTACGCATAGCTCTCCCTTCTCTCTACAATACCACTAGTGGTTTACCGGTGAGCAATCAATAACACGTTAAGTCCCCCAGCTATAAGGAGATAGTGGATTTAGTCCCTCAAATTTTAGCATCATCACTTTAGTCCTTGAATAACACTAAAGTGGCCTATATAGTCTCTAATCAGAGAACTAGTTCAATTTTCAATAGAGATGGTTTAAACCTGTAATTTTTACAGCTTTTAAATTTGTGGTCAAGGTTGTAAAACTCTAATAAGATTTACACTTTAAAATAAATCAGAAAGAATGACCAAAACATAACTCTCAGCTTTTTATTGGACAAAAATAGAACCACTTTTCAAATTTCTAAATGGTGGTCCAAATAGGACTAAATTGTCTCAAATCCTAACTCTCCTACACTAGAAAGTGGTGTGATGCCGCTAAAAGTTTTCTTAAAAGTCACCAGAAAAACTTGTCGTTAAAAACCATTGGCAGTGATAGTGACACATTGGTCACTAGTAGTGGTATACTAATAGTGACATATTTAATTTTTTTTAATATCTAAAAAGAAGATTATCAGAGTGCATCAAGGATCAACTCTGAGTCCTTTCCTATTTACTATAGTCATGGATGAACTTACGAAGTCAAATCAAGAAGATATATCGTGGTGCATGATGTTTGCCAACAATATTGTATTGATTGATGAGAGGCAATCGGGTGTTAAAACAAAGTTGGAAATATGGCAACAAACATTGGAGTCCTAGGGTTTCAGACTGGGCCGAAGCAAGACTGAGTATATGAAGTGCAAGTTTGATGAAGGTAAAAGTAGTAGTAATAATGGGATTACCCTTGATAGCAAGGAGATACCAGTCTGTAATATGTTTCGTTACTTGGGCTTCATAATTCAGAAGGATGGTGAATTAGATGAATATGTATCTTATAAAATCAGAGAAGAGTGGGCGAAATGGAAAAGTGCATCAAGATTTCAATGTAATTGAGGTATGTCGATGAGACTGAAGGGTAAATTTTATTGGACAACAATTAGGACTGCATTAATGAAGCATCAGTCAGTCCATACAATTTTCGACGTGATTTTCACTATGGGTCATCCGGAAACAATCTCTCTGTACTTTACTACAAGGGTAAGACTCCGTACATCCAACCCCCTTACCCCACCATAGGTGAGAGCCTTTGCGGCACTGGGGTAATGATAAACAATTAGGACTGCATTAATGTATGACGTAGATTGTTGGGCAGTGAAACAATGTCACATTCAAAAGGTGAGTGTGGCATGGATGCGTATGTTGCGTTGGATGTGTGCACATACTAAAAAAGACCGCTTGAGGGATGAGATAATCAGACAAAAAGTGAGACTAGCACCTATAGAAGATAAGATGCAGAAGTCTCGATTGCGGAGGTTTAGTAATGTGCGCAAAAGGCCGAGTGATGCACCTGTTAGACGACTTGAGAGGTGGAGAATAGAGGGAGAGGAAGACCCAAACTGACTTGATTAGAGGAATCATAATGAATATGCTTCTTCTTGGGTTGGATGAGAGTATGACTTTGGAGAGAGCAAAGTGGAGAGCGCATATTCGTGTGGACAATCATCTCTTCTCTCTCTTCTCTCTCTGTTTTTCTTTATCGATTATCTTTTTTATCTTTCTATGTCCTTATGTTATTTTTATCCTCTATCTTTCTTATTCTCTTTTATTTTTCGTATGTTCTTATGTTATTTTTATCTTATATTTATCTCTGTCTTATCCATTTTATCTTTATCTTTTTATTCTTCTTATCTTTCTTCCCTTTTTGGCTTCGATATCATGGATCGATTCATGTTGTCGGACCCCAAAATCTTTTAGGAATAAGGTTTGGATGTTGTTGTTGGTGTATCTAAAAAGAAGATTATGGGTCATCCTTTTTTTAAGTCCGGTGTTGCTCCAAATTTGTATTTATAATATCCGCTTTCTGCTTCAGATATTCCACTCGAATCTCATGGCATGATGATGGCTTAAATTGAATACCGTGTCAGGAAATTGTATTACACATTCATTTGAAGTTTGAACTTTTCTGCTTTAGCAACATTTAGCGGTATTGGATATTTGGTTTACTGTAGGAAAAAGAATCAATTGCCATGGACACATCCTCTTTTTAACTGTGCTTGAAAATAGATTTTATATTAATTGCATCTATTCCTCTTTTCTTGAAAACGGATGCATGAGCTGTATTCTCTTCCAGTTTTTTCTTTTTGCATGCATATCTACTGTGCTTAGATTTAAATTTTATTGCACCCGCATCAACAAACGATGCACTGCGTCTGCTATGCTCCAGCCTCGATTTATGAAGGACTACTGGCACTGGAAGCCATAAACAGTGGGCAAGCGTACAAGTAGAACCAACAGCAACAAAATATAGAGCAACCAAACAGGTTGGGAAGAGATAATAATGGATGCATGTGATTCTGTGACTTGGGAAGAGAAAATGTGTATAACTAACACTTCAGAGGACTGCCAGCGAACAAGATATCAAGCAACCAAATAGGCACTGGAAGTCTGCATGTTAGGAAGAAGAAAAACTGTGAGTCTTTGTCATGGGAAGAAGAAAAGAACTGCCTCATGTGAGTTGTGACTTGGGAAGAGAGAATATGTCAGGTGACACATTGCAGTGGATGCAAGAAGAAGACAGAGAGAGTAAGGTTGTCGTGAAGGAGAATAGAGAATCTGCAGATTGTTTTAGGGCTCCCAAAATGACATGTATAACTAGTTTTTTATCAAATTAATTAAAAAGCCATGGCCTAATAGAAGCCCAATCACATGATCACACTAAAACACTGTTCTTCACCCGACCTCAATCACCTTGATGGCTTGATCGTAGGAGCAACTGGGGATCTCATGATTGTTGGATCTTGCGATAAACAACATATTGGCAACAGGGGCTTTTAAGTATTCTAATACCATGATATGGCCCACATGCCTTTGCATGTGTAGTGTGTAGGTCCCAAAGCCCCTACTCATTTGATATAATATGCCCAAGCATTGATGCTGTGTCTCTTTGGAGGCAAGAACCTAGCATGTTTTGCATAGGCACCAGTTCGTCTGATTCTAGGAAGTGCAGGGCATTGTTAATTAAAAGACTACATGGAGTTTCCATCCCGGTTTCTGACCATAAAAGTGGCTACAGTTGTATGTTAGTAATTAACTTACTCTCTGTTATATTTTGTCCGGGATTGGAATCAGCTTCTTTCCATCCCAAAATGTTGAATAAAATTGCTGAACAGTTGTATATATCTAAAGCCCTCTTTAGTTCTTATGTCTTGTCCCTAATTGTTATTCAGTTGTTGCCTTGTTGGTGCTAAATTTAGGTGCAATCACAAGAATCAGCCGGCTTGCTTCATTCTCTATCTGGGGGAGCTTGGGACCCACATGATTATAATGTGATCGCTTTAACATGTGATGCGTCAGTTCAATTTTGGGATCTGCGTGCAATGAAGTATTCTAATTGTTTGCTTCTTTCTCTTTGTCATATAATACTTAGCAGTGCATATTTTTTTGTTTGTTTACATAATACATATGCTAACACTTAAAATGTTAATGGAAAACTAAACCAATAAAATTAAGAGTTTGTTCTCAAGAGTTAACGCCACAACTTTTGCACTTGCAGGAAAACAGGTTCAATTGAGCATGCTCATGTACGAAATGTAGACTACAATGCTAAAAAAGAGTATGTGCTTGTAAGTACATTCAGAGGACTTTCTTAAAGAGATCACCTGGCCTTAATTCAAAGAAGAACTTATTCCTATCTGTTGCAATTCACTTTGGTTTCGGCTAACTTGTTGATCTGGACTCTGGAGGCATGTTGGCACACAAGTCATTCACTTGATGATAAAACTGGTGTAACATATTGCAATGGCTAATGACCTCCTTTTCCCACACATCAAGGGAAAGAGAGACATATCATTAATACTCATGTTTTAAAGATCTTGATTTCAACTTTTCAAGTAAACAAAAGAAATCTGAATTAATATTCTTTAGGAAACAGCTTTTGTAGTGGTCCTTGAGCTTGGTAAGGTTTTCTGGAAACCTGGAAAATAAAGAGGAATGCTAGATGTAGTCACCTTTTTACATTCTCTCTAACAGTCTCTATTATTCGTTCATGTCACCTTAACGTATAAAGTATAACCTATTATGATAAACCTATAAGGTAACATGGGCCAATAATATCATACCTCAAACTTAAACATGTTTAGTTTTTCCGTATTCCAAATTTAGAAAACAGACAACATGCCTTAAGTTCACCAGTTTTTCAAATTAGAAAACATAAAAAATAATTCCATTATTAGAAAACACCTTTTCTGTGTATGTAAGAAAGATAAAAGTTGTTAAAAGTTAGCACCTATCACCGATGACAACTATGACCATTCACATACTTGTCCTTATCACAATAAGTGACCTCCACCATGATTTCCGGTGATCATCCATATCATCAATAATCATAAGTTCTGCCAACGACTCAAAATTGTCGATGTTGCCGCCTTGCCGGCTATTGATGCCGTTGACAAACACCACCGCTGGCGACCACTATCACCAGCACCGCCACTGAACATGGTTTCTAACCACTACTACCGTCAATAAATGACATTGTCATGGAGAACCAACTGCACCGGCGATCAATGCTGCCGCCGACCATCAATGTTGTCATTGATCATGACTATCAGCCATGTCATCACTGGTAGCGACCATCTTCATCCTTGACCCATCACTACCGCTGACCACTGTACTACTGGCAATTGCCATTGCTGACAACCACTGGAACCTGTTGTTGACCGCCACTGACTGCCATTGCCTCCCCGACCACCCCAGGTAGTCCTGGCAACACTACGTAAGTGATGTGGGAAGTATATGCTGCTAAACATGTTTTCCATTTTGGAGAACAGATAAAATATGTTATGGCATTTTAGACCACGTCATCCTGGTTTCGGTTAGTTACAACATTTTTTTCCCTTGCCCTATTTACGAACAGAGATGTTGTTTTTTTCAGTGTGAAGATATCAATTTGCTAAACGTTAGCAGCTTGTTTATCCCACTTAAAATTCCTTCAGAACCCCACTCTTATTCATGGCGTCATTTGGGGATTAATCTTGATTAAAAATGAAGCTAGCTTCTACTGCAAAGCCTTCAATTTCTCATTCGCAATTGGTAAAATGAAGCTAGTTTCCTGCAAACATGACTTTGGTGCTATTAATATGCCTTATATATGCAAGGTAACAGCTGAAGATGAATCTGGTATACACATATGGGACCTTAGAATGATGACCCGCCCCATCCTAGAGCTCCCCGGACATGCTCACTGGTATGTTGTTCTTGCTCACTGCAATAGTTACTTTGCAAATACCAAACCAGAGTTCTTTAGGTCTCAAGAGACCCTCCACTTATATTTTAAACTGTATAAGCATAATCTGTTTGTTGGTAGGACATGGAATGTGAAATGCAATCCTGAATATGAAGGCTTACTTCTGGTTAGCTCCCTCTCCCTCTCTCTCTCTCTCTCTCTCTCTCTCTCTCCACACATACTTGAGGTTTAATAGAAAGGAGATAACCAAGCAATCACAAATACTAATTAACTTTATTTGCTTTCAAGTATACTTTTGTAGCTTGGTTGCATGATTAATTCCATTCCCATTTCCAGTATTTTTAATTTTTGTAACCTGATTGCACCATCATTTGCAATAAGAAAATGAATCTTCAGTTTGTTCTGTCCATTAAAAATGATTTAACAGTTAAGAATAATTTATTGTTACAAATAGACTTTTCATTGTCTATCTTTAGTGAAATTGAATTGTTGAAGTAGTCTTAGGGTTGAAATCAGTACTTGATATGAACCATAAAAAACCTCGACTATTGAAATAATTTTGGTCAAAAACCGAAGTCTGCTAGGCGCCTGATAATAACCCTGTAGTATAAGTGTAGATATTTCCTCAAAATTTGTGCCAAACTTTCTGCTCTTTTAGATCTATTCAAATTATTCTCATTTGTTCTTTTGGAGTGTTTGTTAGTGCTGATAGTGTCAAAGCATTTGTAGAGTTCTGGAACTGATTCTGCAGTGAATTTGTGGTTGACATCTACTAGTGGTGCAGACCTAGCTTCTGAGAGGTGATAAGTGCTTATTCATCCTGATTCATGACCCTGCAGGCATAAAAAAGGATCAGATTTTAATGTTTCTATTGGTTGTAATTGCGTCACAATACCTTTTTCTAATTTCAGCCTGGAGTCCTCCACTAATCAGGTGGATCCGTTACTAAATTCATTTAGTGACTATGAAGACAGTGTCTATGGTAATTTCCATTATATTTTTTTGGTTCATGATCGTAATAATACTACTTTTTATTCATCAACCCCTGTTTTTGAAGGTCTTGCTTGGAGCTATCGAGAACCATGGATGTTTGCATCATTATCTTATGATGGGAGGGTATGATCAATACCCTTTTTTTATACAACCAACTAGAAAATGACAATAGTATATCTGAGCAAGAAACTGTTTCTACTTTGTAAGCATCATGTTGATGTTTTTGTTATTCCCTCTGTCCCAAAAGTAACATGACTTTTTCGGAACAGATGTAGTACTTATTATGGCGCTAGTGATTAAATACTCACTCTGTCCCATATTCTTTTTACGATGTTTGATGGGTGATAAAGTTAAGTCTCCACTAGTATTATTTAAATATTTTTAATAATAAAATTTACAATTCGAATATGATAGAAAATTGGTATATAAAATATGATATATTAAAAGGGAGTTAAGTTGACCGTTGAAATAGTGAATGAGAACCATATTCTATGATGGAGGGATTGGTACCCCCCTGGAAAAGGTAAATATCTATATCAGCACGGACCGGAATCCCATAAGGTCAACTTCATTTTTGGCCGAAAGTGAATTTTACGATCCGTTTTTTCATTAGTATCAACTACTCCCTCCGTCCTGTTTTTATTTCAGTTCCTATTCATTTGGTCAACACAAATCACTCTTAATCTCTTACTTTATATATCAATTTTTTATCAAATTTGATTCTGGTTTTTGCGACTTTGTAAAGCTTTTAATGTAGTTCTGAATATGTAAAAAAAAATTCTAAAAAAAATTTGAGTGCGGACAGGGATGTGTTTGCTTTATCATCGGTCAAGCATCGTAAACTTCAATGAGATAATATTAGGGGGACGGAGGTAGTATTATTTTCACCTGCCTATCTATCTATTGATCAAATATAATCTGTTTATGTGTGGGCTTGTTAAAATTGGGGCTTCTGCTGTATTTAATAATCTTAATACCGATCTATTAAAAAACTGTGATACTGATTATGAAGTATTCTCGTTGATTTGTTATACATAGGTGGTTGTGGAATCCATAAAGCCTCATCTTCAAAGAAGATGAAGGGTGGGAGAGCATTATAGGCACCAGTTTTGAAGGTGCATTATTGGGTTCAAGGCTTTCTTATTGTAATTGCTGTTTAGCCTTCTCCTACATTTCTCACTATACGAGATTGGAGTGTGCCCTCCCTCATACTGTGAGTAGTCTGTGATAGTGCTTTCCTTTTATTTCCTTTGACAGCGCATTTTTTGTTCATTTCGAAGTTGAAGCTCAATTATTCATGCCACTTGCAGAGCTGCAATGACTGTAATGTGAGTCGTGGTATTTCAGCATCCTAGCTTTTGTGTTGAATGATGTAATGGTCATCGTACCTTTGTGTCATAGCATGTTTACATTTCGATTAAAGAAAAAGATTCTGTATCGGGAAGCAATGTATGCTACTACTGATTCTTTTTATAAACTACTTCTGTTACTAAATTAATACGCACTTCTGTTAAGGAAATGAAAACAGTTTGCTTGAGATTTATTCAGGAGAGAAAAATATTATGAATCACATATAGCTTTTATATATACTCCCTTCGGTCCCTATTAAAGTTCCCAGTTTGACTTCACACAGATTAAGAAAATAAATTTGACTTTAGTGTGGAGTGCATTGTTTGGCACTATTTGGACACCGTTTGACACTGTTTGACACTGTTTTGTTGGAAGGCCTATGGTTGGACTCGGGCCGAGTCTGGCCTGGTCGGGCCGGCGGTTCTATATAGCTGGACCCGGGACCGGCCCGGGTAGCCACCGGGTCCAGTCCGGGTCCGGGCCCGGGTAGCCACCGGGTCCAGTCCGGGTCCGGGCCGGGCCTCGGGTTTGGTTATTTTTTTTTTTTTGCTTAGCTACCCATCCCTGACCCCCCCTCACCCCCACCCCCCAAACCCCTCCTAAACATCAAGCCCAACCCGGTGGAGCCCAAACAAATGAAAAAAACCAAAAAAATAAATAAATTTGGCCTGAACCGGGCCCGGGTCCGGCCGGGTCGGGCCTTGTTATGGGTGACCCGAGCCCGGACCGGAAACCCACCGGGTCGGGCCTACCCGGACCGGTCACTGACCGGGCCACCGGTTCGGGCCGGGTCGGAACAGTACCGGTCCCGGGCAGGTTCTGGGTCGGGCCACCCGGCCCGAGTCCAACCCTAGGAAGGCCTGACCAGGTAAGAAAGTACAATGCTTTAAGCTTACAAATCGGGCTCTTAAACTTATTTCCTTTAAAAGCTCAATTAATTTTGAATTTCTCACCATTAAATAGAAACTTTCCAATTACAAATGTCTGACCATTGAATACAACCATTAAAAGCTCAATTATTAAGATTGTATAATTTATGTACTCACGCTGAAATTAGTTTATGCTATCGTATTTAGCAAAGCTTATTTTAGTGCATTTTAATACTTACGTTAATGCACTTTTATATAAGTTTTTATGCACGTTTTATATTATATAAACATTTGTGTTAGATTGCTATCTTCTCTAATAAATATTAAAATATGTTATGAATATGTGCTAGTGCAATAAATATTGTATGCACATTTTGTGAAAGTATTATACATTTTATATATATTTGCTCGGTACATATATATGTTCTAAACCTATTAATAGTGCACAACTAATTAAAGTACTATGCAATTTATAGGGAAATAATATAAAAATATACGTATTGTGATCTTTACTCCTTTTTTACATAATAGTGCATATGTATAATTAGAATTCACAAGTTGGTAACACCAAAATTCCTTTTAATATCTCAAAATTGCAAAACTTAATGCTAAATGTTCATAGTAAAAAATGCTAAAAATGCACAATTACTTACATGTACAATTCTAAAAGTGCACAATAGTAAACTAATAGTGCACAAAATTGTGAAATGTTAACAATGTTTTTAAATATATACTACCTCTGTCCCAAAAAACTTTGCCATTTCAAAAAATTTAAACATTGATTTTGATTAGTATAATATTATGGAAATTATAAATTTTACTTTTATGAAAGTACTTTTAACAAAGAACATTTTCATATAATTAATTGTTATATTATAAATAATTTTCAATAAAAGTATTATACATAGTATAAAAGTGCACTTTCATGATCTGATTTCTTTAATAAATTGAATTGCACTTTATTCACTTTCAAGGTGCATAACTGCTTGTTGTGCTAAACACATCTCTTCCAATCGGTTCATATATTTGTGTGTTTCACACTATTCACATAATCTATTTTGATAATATTTATTAATGTATTATAAAGTTAATATTTTTTTCAAAAGTATCTCAAAGTAAATTTTTTGAGTATAAAAAGAATGTGTGTGTGTGTGTTTGGACAAAAATATAATTAAAGAGAACAAAATAAAATAAAATAAAATAAGATAAAGATGTACTCCGTATTAAATAAAAGGGATAGGATAAACCCTATCAAAAAAAGAACATATACGTAGTATCAAAATAAAAACATACACCCACTAAGGTCAATTAATGAATCACAACGTGCGACATTAAATTATAGTTCTTGGTACTCCATATTTAAAATAGAAAGATTCATGAAATGACAAAAGGACCCTGTACGAGTATACATGATTGACTAAAAAGAATTGATGATCCAACGGTTGTGAATTATTCTTATTTTTCTCCTAAGATGATTTTCTCACATGAACCCACCCACACACACACACACACACACACACACACACACACACACACACACACACATATATATATATATATATATATATATATATATATATATATATATATATTGGACCGTTAGATTCACTTTAAGTGAAATTCAGTGTGCATTAGGTGAAACTATAATGTGTATTAGGTGAAATTGAAATCTGCTGCACAAAGGGTACGATGCAGATACATTATGTGAAGCTGAAATATGCATTAGGTGAAATTGAAATGTGCACTAGGTGAAACTGAAATGTGCAGAATAAAAGGTACGAAGTGATGTTATTTTTGTACCTTTTAGTCCACATATTTCTGTTTCATCTAATTCACACTTGAGTTTAAATTTTTATCCTGCACATTTCAATATCATCTAATGCACATTTGAGTTTCACCAAATATACAATTCAGTTCCACATAATACAATCCAATGGTTCAGATTTATTCTCATTTCTCTCTTGGGAGTCCGTTCTTACCGGAACCGCTCACTATATATATATATATATATATATAGAGAGAGAGAGAGAGAGAGAGGAGTTTTCATGTGCGGACGGCCGCACCAGACCCGCCGTCCGGCCGACAGCGTTTAGCCGCCCTCCCGGTGGAATTTTTTGATGAAATTTTTATGACAAGTTATTCATCAAGTCTAGTTTATCCACACAAAAAATCAGTTAAAACCTCAATCCGGAAGGTCGTCAAATGATTTTTTGAAGTTCACTGCGCTAAAATATCCAAAAATTATTTGAGACCTTCCGAATTGAGTTTTCAGCTTAATTTTTTGTGGATAAACTAGACTTCATGAAGAACATGGCATAAAAATTTCATCAAAAAATACCACCGGGAAGGCAGCCAAACGCCGTCGGACGGACGACGGATCTTGTGCTGCCGTCCGCATGAGAATACCACTACACACACACACACACACACATACACACACACATATATACATATATATATATACATATATATACATATATACATATATACATACATATATACATATATACATACATATATACATATATACATACATATATACATATATACATACATATATACATATATATATACATATATATATATATGGAGCAGATCAGGTGAGAAGTACCCTTAGGCTGAGAACTGCGGAATTTAACTTATAGACTAAAAACACGAACTTTTAACTAATAAATCATAACTTATAGACCCCATCGAAAATAATTACGAAAATACCATCGCAAAAAATAACTCCAGAAACCGTCAATAAAATTTTGACGCGGTGACATTTCCGTAATTATGATGGAGAGCTTTATAAGTTATGATTTTTTGGTTATAAGTTCCTATATTCAGTCTATAAGTTTACTGCGTTGTAAGATTAGATGCAAATCAAGAGTTAAGATTACTTATCACTTCTCATTTTAAGGGGAACTTCTCGCCTGATCTTTTATATATATATGTATATATATATATATATATATATATATATATATATATATATATATATAGATATAACAATATGATAAATTTGGAACAGGAAAGAAGAAAGGGAATATTTGTGTGAAACTATTCCATCTCTGCGACATTATTTTTCCTGGTTACTCTTTTCTGGTTAATCCATTTGTTTTTTTTTTATTTTATGGGTCCGTTTTTTTGACTTTTTTTCATATCTATTTTAGAAATGGCCCTAAATAGGAGTAAAAACGCTCTGAAATTCCAAAATAGGAGTGTCGTGTTTTTTATTCCATGAATATGAGTAATCTGCCAATTTTGGAAGAAAATGCCATGTTTAATAGCCTAGTAATGCCAAACATGACAGAAATTTACTCATATTTAGGGAATAAAAAGCATGATACTCCTATTTTGAAATTTCAAAACTTTTTTACTCCTATTTAGGGAATTTATTCTATCTATTTTTGTGGGTGTGTTTGAGTGGGACTTTAAGAGTTCAATCTAAATGCATAAATGTAATTGATAATACTATATGGAAAAATAATTAAAATACCCCAAACTTTGAAGAGGTGTATTTTAGCACCATGATCATGTATTATTTATTTAAAAAATGTTAATTTTTGGTGTTCATTTAATAATTTAAAATATTTTAGCATCCATGAAGATCAACTAACATTCTGAACTTTCATCCCAAAAAAAACTAACATTCTAAACTTCTATTGTAAAATAAAGAGTAGTACCACCCCCACCCCCCCCCCCCCCCCTACTCTATCTACTTGTAGCGTTTTCAAATTGTTATTTTCAACTATGCAATTACCATAAATTTACATTTTTGGAAGAAATAATACATGATCATGGTGTTAAAATAACTTTTTATATAAAGTTTGGGGTATTTAAATTACATATGAAACTAATAATCCAACCTTTTATCGGTCTTCTTACAATAGTTCCACCTTTTGATTATTCATGATTAATCCAACCTTTGCACCCCATCTTCATTCACTGGTCTCTGATCGATTTATGACATGTTATTCCAAGTTATTTTCTTAACTTTGTAAAACATTATACCATAATTCCCACCTTATGATCACATAATGTTTTGCAAAGATGAGAAAACAACTTGGAATAACAGGTCATAAATCGGCCAGAGACCCGTGAATGAAGATGGGGTGAAAAGGTTGGATTATTCATGAATAATCAAAAGGTGGGACTATTGTAAGAAGACCGCTAAAAGGCTGGATTATTAGTTTCCATTTTCCCTTTTAATTATTTTCTCTAATACTATATTACTCCCTTCACCCCTAACTTTATTTCATTTTATCTTTTTTCGTCCATCTCACTAAGTTTGTCATAGGAAAATACTTGATAAACTTTAAATGATTGCATTCATTCTTATTGTATAACACTTTCACTTCCTCTTGTCCATGTTAGGAGGTAAA